CTGTCTTTGCTCGATCGTCGGGGTGCATAAAGATCTGATGATACCCCGAGAATGCGTCCATGAAACTAAGCAAGGCATGGCCACTTGTCGAATCGACTAGCTGATCGATCCTCGGCAAGGGATAGAAATCCTTTAGACAAGCCTTATTTAGGTCCGTGAAGTCAACGCACATCCTCCAGGTACCATTGGGCTTCTGAACCATCACCACATTTGCCAGCCATTCTGGATATTGGCAAGGTTCGATGAATCCTGCCTCCAATAATTTTTTGACCTCGGCTGCGATGTCTCGGTTCTTATTGGCAGAGTAATTCCGCTTCTTTTGCTTAACTGGTCAACACGTCGGGTCAACATTAAGCTTATGGGAGATGAGGTCTGAACTTATCCCAGGCATATCAGCTGCCGAGAAAGCAAACACATCTCTGTTGTCCCGAAGGAGCTGAATAAGTTCACAACGGGTGTTCGGATCAAGGTCCATCCCGATTGTTACACATTTCTCAACGTCTCCTTCGGCCAACTCAACTGTTTCAGTCTGTTGGTCCATGTCCATTGCTGATGGACTGGACTCTTCAGAATCTGGCCTGCTGCCAATGTCAGCAGGTGTCCCAGTCTTTTTGTTCTTCGGCTGGCTCTCTGAGTCTTGCGGCTCAGCTGAAGAGCTAGCCTTTTCCCTTTCGGGCCCTTTTTCTCTGGGCACAGATCCTTGGGCCGAAGCACTTAGGCCTTTTGGCTTTTTTGTGCTTGGCTCTCTTTCTTTTTCTTTTTCCTCCTCATCCTTGTCGTCATCTGGGCGACCACTGGATGGCTTGAGGTAGTTGCACCTTCGGGCGTCCTTTTGGTTGCCCTGTATCCTTTCGGGGAAGCCGGCGTCTGAGACGTAAATCATCAGTTGATGATAAGTTGAGACGACCCCTTGGATCTCGTGAATTATGGGTCTCCCCAAAATCACGTTGTACACTGAAGGAGCGTCGATGACCAAAAATTCAATCATGACGTTCCGAGCTGCCTCATCGCAACCGATGGTGACAGGAAGTGTCACCTTCCCATCTGGATAAGTTGAAGCCCCATTGAACCCGGATACCGGGTAGGGTACCGGCGTAAGGTGCTTGGGCTTCAGCTTAATTTGATTGTAGGCCTTTCGGAACAGAATGTTTGCTCCACTGCCACCGTCAACAAGGACCTTACTGACGTCGTGGTTGGCCACCGTGGCGATGATCACCAACGGATCCTCGTGAGGGAACGTAATCCCCCGGCAGTCGGCGGCTGTGAACGTCATGTTCGGCACCGGCGACTGGGGAGATTGAATGTCAGCGTTGTTCACTTGGTGAGTCAAAGCTCTAAGGTGTCGCTTGTGCTCCCTCCGAGAGTATATTCCTCCCGAGATAACATTGATAGGAGGGAATTTCCCCTCCGGCTTTTTACTGTTTTTCCGGGGGAAGTCGAGGTCTTGCCGAGGGTCCTTTGCTGACCTCTCGGACTCTTTTTTCTCGCGGTGATCCGCGATGTATTTTTTCAAGGATCCCTTCCGGACCATGTCCTCTATCTGGTCCTTCAGTTGGATACACTCCTCAGTGTTGTGTCCCGAAGACTCGTGGAACTCGCACCACTGATTTTTATTTTTTCGTTGATACCACTCTGGGAGTGGTCTCGGCTTTCGGTAACTCTGCTCCTCCTTCGTCACGCTGTAAATTTTGGCGCGTGGAAGAGAGAGCGGAGTGTAGGACTCGTATCTGCCTGTGTATGAGGCAGATCTTTCCTTCTTTGGGTCGATGGCAAAGATTGCTCCGGGGCCTTTGACTTTCCCTTTGCCTTATGGCCTTGGCCTTCAGACAAGGGTATTTGTCTCTGTTTCCCTCCCCCGAATTGAGGTTGGGTTTTCGCTTTGTTCCATTCTTCGGCTCGGATGAACTTATCCGAAGCATTAAGAGCTTCCTCCAAGGTCTGCGGGGTATGCATGACCATGAAGTCTAGGAACTTTCCGGGCTGAAGGCCATTCTGCATTGCGAAAACGGCTAGCCCCTGGTCCAGCTGGGAGACGCTTGATGACTCGTTACTGAAACGGGTCAGGTAGTCTCGGAGGCTTTCGGTTTCCCCCTGTTGCAGACTCATGAGCTCTGCGGTAGTCTTCTCTCGGCGGTTTGCCGTGGAAAACTTGCTCCTGAACTTGGAGGACAGATCATCCCACCCTGTTATGGAGCCTTGCCTTACTCCCTTGGAGATCCACGCTTGCGCGACCCCCTTGAGAGTGGTTGGGAAATATTTGCACCAAGTCGCCTCGGATCTGGGGCAAAGATGCATATGAGTCTCATACGAGGCCACGTGATCCTTCGGATCCGTGGTCCCGTCATATGTGATGTGCGACGGTATTTTAACCGTGGGTACGCGCTCTTCCAGTATCCATTGCTCGAATGGTGAACTGGCGGGTAGCATAACGGCCTTGCCCTTGTTCCTGGCCGAAGGGACCGCGCTCCGCCCTCTTAGAGAGGTAGGAGTGGTTTTCGTCCCTGGCTGGGAAGTCTGGGCCTCGGCTGCAGGGAACGAGAGGCGACTGTGCACGCTCGGTTCCTTGCCGCCGAGTCGGTCAAGGACGCTTCTGCGAACAGTCTCAGGTTCTCGGTGTGTAGATTCTGGCCGAGAAGCTGAGCTGCTGCTCTTATGCGCTTCTGGTCTTGAGGATGAGGATCCTTTTAAAAATTGAGGGTTCTTTTTCCTCTGTTTTTCATTTTTCCAGGAATCCTCCTCCCACTCTTCCAGTTCCCGGAAGGAAGGAAGCTTCCCACCATCATGGTCTAACTTCCTCCGCTGATGCCGGGTATGCGGAGGAGTTCGATCACGAGGTGGTGGCATATTTTGTGCCCTCATCGCCTCCATGAGTACTGCCAGCGCTCTTGCCACCTCTTCCGAGCTGGGCCCCGTCAAAGGGGTCCTCGGCCGAGTGTGGGAATGAGGGCGCGCAGCCGATGGTTGGCTTTGGGACACTGAATGTGTCCTATGATCGGACTCACCCCTGCTAGACCGAGAGTAACTCGGCCTATAATGAGAGTCATGAATTACGGGAGATAGGGAATCCTCCTTGTATGATCCTCCCCCCGAGCCGGCACCCTTGGGAGAGTTCCGGTCCAGCGAGGGTGATGGTGTAGGGCTTTTAGGCTTTTCGCCCGCTCCTTGACGGAGGCTTTTGCTCTTGCGGTTCTTAGCCATTGCTGCTAAGATAATTGCAAGATGATCTTGGTTAGGAATTTGGCTTAAAGATTTTTGAAAGTCTTCCCCACAGACGGCGCCAAATTGTTTCGGGTGAAAACAATGGGACCTTGCCGAAGGTCCGCTGAAACGGAGAAGGCTGGATTCGGTCCAAGTTATGTTGGGCCGAAGGTTTCCTGCACAGTAAACACACGTAAACTAGCCTCGGGGGTGTTGCCGAGGAAGGCCCCTCCGATGCTAAAGTCAGTACAATGTGTAAGAAGAGGACACTATGCAAGAGAGTTTGTTGCTTGAGGCTTTGATGGAATATATCAGAATATATCAATGAACATATGAATGAATCCACATATGAATGAATATTGATGGCTTTTATACCTCATCATACATGGAGAGGTTGGGCCTTAGCCCAATTGGCTTGCTTTGTGGGCTGACCTTTGACTTTAGCACAATTGGAGAGTTGAACCTTGACCTTGGGCTTTTAATTGGATCATTTAATGCCTAGGCCCAATTGGACTAAATTGGACCCAAACAACTTGTATAATTATTTAAAGCTCTTGGATTTATTAATTGATTAGCTGTGCCGATCGACTGTATTGCGTGATTATCACTACAAATTAGCGTAATTTAACTGGGATATCAGTCTCAACTTTTACTTTGTTTCCACTTATAAAATGATTATTTTCTGCCATTCTTTGCTTTTAATTTGCTTAAATTTCTAATAAACCCTGGTGTTTGATGGATTTGAGTGGATTCATGGCAACTGAATCATTCAAAAGAAGTGTCTTTTTCGAATTGTGCACATAGAAATAATAACAGGCCTAATTTTTAATTAATTGACCTACTATCTTTAATTCTTCCCCATATTCTATTTGTTGAAAAACGAAATTCTCTGAAGTGGGAACCATTGATTTACATTTTTATTATCGGCATGTGGATATCAACTAGCTTAATTGGTTTACTTGTTACAGTTTTAGTAGTGGTATTGAATTTGGTTTGCATCATTACCCTTTGTGGCTCTTTATAGACTAAGTCTTATTAATATTATAATAGTAGCAGTTGTGGATGGTAGCTTTTGAATTAGTGAATTCTTTATTAGGTCGTGTGGAGCTCAAGGTTATGGTACTTGTCAGTTGGTGGAGTGTTATTTTAACTGCTTTTTCCGTGCTTTTTTTTTTCTTTGCAAATTAGATGGTGCACTAATGAGGGTAATGAAGCCAGAAATTGGGGTTTTCGCTAACAAAATTCCTGGACAGTTACGCCTACAACAATTCATATACTTGCTAAAAGTATTATCTAAAGGAACTATAGTACATAGAACCAAATTTGTAACTAGCTGTGGCCTGTGGGTCTTGTGGAAAATTGACGTATTTTGATTTACAAAATTCTGTTCATAACATTATATTTAATGCCGTGTTTGGATAGGAGGAAATGGAAGGAAAAAAGGGAAGAGAAATGGAGGGGAACAAACTCTCTTCTTTGGGTAAAGGATTGGGGGGAGGACAGGAAAGGAGATGGAGGAATCCATTTTCCCTCTCTCTTTAATAAGCATAATCCCTTCAAAATTAGAGAGATTTGGAGGGAAATGACCTTCCCCTCCCTTTCTTTTCCATTCCCGTCCTCCTCGTTCCCTCCCCTTCCTTTCCTTCCTTATTTGCTATCCAATCAAGGCGCAACGTCTTTCATGTAGTAACAACTGAAGCAGACAATATGATATGGCATTAATCTGCATTGCTAATTCTTTGAAGTTAATGTGTTGCTGCTTAATAAGATGACTAATCCTTTTTTTTTCATCTTATTTATAGGCACTCAAATAGTAGCGCAAGTCGCAAGATGTTTTATGCTTAAAGATGTTGTGAAATTAACCAATGCAACTTTCAGTGCTGGAAGACCAAGTAAATTTAGCTTCATTGCCTTCATCTTTCAGTTATGCTGCATAGATTGATCCTCAGTTGAGTTAGTCGCATAGTTTTCTAAAATAAGATATGCTGCATAGATTGATCCTCACTTGAGTTAGTTGCATAGTTTTCTAAAATAAGATATTATGGTTTTCTTACCTGTGAATAAACTTTATGCATTCACTCTCAAGGCCCAGTTATGCCTTCACTGGTTGCAGAACTTCCAGTTATATGCATGTATTCACATTGGTATTTTGACCCTCCAGCACCACTTCTCCTTTTGCTGATCAAGGCTTGGGTAGTTAAATTTTGCTAATTGTATATGCATAGATTATAGGAATTCTGAGCCGTTATCGTTTGATGGAGCAGCCCCTGCCAACCTTGGGTTATGTGCTGCTTTGTTGTTGAGTGAACTAGCTGTTGATTTCTAAACAATCAATTGCCCAAGGTTCCATCTATGAGCCATAGAAGCTGTAACTTTTGAGCTCTGCTTTTGAGTTTTTGCTGATAATATCATATTTGGTGACAGTTTGACTTCTTGTTGTGGCAGGGACCTCAAGTTCAAGTCCATTAAAAGGCTAGACAAGGATGCCAAGATATGCATTCTTAGTGAAATGCAACTCATACCTTAAAAGATTACAGAGGCATGTTTGTTTGTCTGTCTGGCCCTTGATTTCATCTTGCTTTACCTGCTTGTCACAATAATTAATTTGTGGTCATGCAGGACTCTGAGGTTTGTAAACAGCAACACCCGGCCAAGATTAAAGGCAAGGCAATCAACTAACAATACCCAACCCAATAAACTCAAAAATGATGATGTGTTTGTGATATACCCCGTTGGGTTGGTGATGAATGTGACTTAATATGGTATCAGATGAGTGACTTAATGTGGTATCAGATGATAATGTTTTAAGCTCATTACAAGGCTGTCAAGGATGGAACATAAATGCATTTTTGGTGCAGTACAACATATTCATAAAAACATTAAACCCTCAAAGCTATTTAAAGGTATATTTATTATCCTTCTTTCCTAGCCCTTGGTAACATGTTGGTTTGCCTACAAGTTGCATTATCTAATTTTTGGTCATTGTTCTTACTGATTTATACACACACACACACACATTGTTGTTTGGGGGTCATCTAAGTCAAAACTATCATGGGAATAGTCGGTATTTAACTTACTATATCTAGAAAGTGGTGTATGATCTTAGAATGACCTAAATAGAAACGTGACCTACTTCCTCCATTTTTATTTGCTTGCAGCACACCACTTTGGTAGGCACTTATTAGACTAGGTAGGCGGACAAATCAATTGGCAAACCACCAATTATAAGAAAGTGATAAGCTACTACAGTTTAAATTTTATATTTTAATTTGTCCGTTTACCTAGTCTAATTGCTTCCTTAAATCACATGTGAAAATGGTGTGTTGCAATTTTAAAAGACAGAGGAAGTATTATTTAGGGACATAGGAATTCAAAATATCCTTTCACATTTTATGTACTATCACGAATAGTTCTCCTTGAAAGAAAATCTCAACTTGCTGTTTGGTATAGTATAATAATACCTCTTGGAAAAGATACATGTGACTTGGATTGAAGGAGCCCTCTTGAATCAAGTGAATTCAATATTTCTTGTTACGTTAGCTTCTTTTTTATATTACATTTTTGAGAGGCTATTAAGGGTGGAAAAGTATTCCGGTACATTTTGTCACATAAAAGTATTAACAATTAATAACCATTTTGAAGGTCATCTTAAAGCTATGTTGTCATATTCCTTTTTGGTGGTTGACTTCCTATCTTATTTGTTCCACGTAATAATCCATCATTAATCCTTAAATCTCAATTGATCTACTGTTTTTGTATATCAGAACTAAATTTAGCCTAATAATTTTATCTAAGTAGTAGTCGTCTACAACTTTTAATGCATTTAACAAGAATATAGAACATAGAGATGTATGAAGACAGAACATAGGACTCACAAAGGCTGATAGTATACATGCTCATATAATTACTGTCAGCCATTAAGAGAATGATATGCATGAAAACTTGTAAACATTTTTAAATTGACTTTCATAGAAGTCAATAGGACCACATACCTCATATACCCTGTGCAAAGCTAATGCAAATTTACTAAAAACCACTTGCTCCACTTGCTGCATAGTGCCTCCCTGTCATAGTTTTTGTCTTCTGCGAAATTTGTTGAAAATTTCCTTTTGGTTCCTGCCAATATCCAATACTTGACTACTTATATTTGACAAAGTCACTAAGACTTTGTAAGCACCATTTCTTGCATATATACATACTACCATTGTTTATATTCAGAAGTTTCACTAAAAAAAGTTTTTTTCTTACAAACATTGTCTATATTTGGTCTTCATTCATATGAGATATATCAAACCATAATATTGAGGTATAGTCTAGCACATATTATGTTTCTCTTTGTTTAGCGCACCTCCTATTATTGAGGTGTGTGGATTCATATGCTTATTTTGGTACGGTCTCAATTTAAACTGTTCACATGTATTTTTATTCCTGATGCAACTGTAATCACTGTATTTTATCATAATTCATTTTTTTCTTTTGATCAGTTAGGAAAAAGAATGTATTTGGCTTTGGTGTGAAAAAGCAAACAGAGTCAACGAAACAAACATGGACAGTTAGTGGTACCATTCACTTCATCAATTATTTCGTTTGTATATTTTCTTTTGCTTAACCATCTGCCTCTATGTTGACTTCTCTTTACTTTGAATGCGTTGCAAAACCACCTAGCAAGAGGTCTTGTTAAATCGACTCTCTTTGTCAATGTGAATATTTGATGATTATTCATGTGTAAGAAAATAAAGAGTTGCGTAATTGGATAATTTGGTCTGTTTCTACAAATTGATTTCTTAGTCCGAGGCCATGTAATATCACCTTGTCCTTTTCACCCTTCATTTGGAACTTAGGAAACCAAGGGTTTATGAATTAGTTCATGGTTTTATTTTGTTACAGAAATCTTTTGCAAAATGGTTAGTTCTAGATCCCTGTCTCAAAATAATAATGCTCGACTGGAGGAAAAATAAAGTGTAGATCAAGATTAAGACTTAAGAGCATGTTTGGTATAGTGTTTTTGAGCAGTGGTAATGGAATCAGTTAACCATTTCCATTACCAATTTTTTTGGCATAGGTAATACACTCTATTTCTTAGGGGTAACTATTACCCTCCATCTGTTATACTTTTCCCTACCTATGTTGATAAAAAGTTTTCCTCCTCAATCCTTATTTTTGATACAAGGGATTTATTTCCATTTTCATACCAAATGACAAATAATGGTAGTAAATGTTTCTCCTTCTTATTTGTTTCCATTCCATTTCCTATCCAATATTCATACCAAACAAGCACTAAGTACATTGTCTTGCTCCATTCAGATTAGGTGACACAATATTGCTAGTGTAAAGTAACTACTATGAACTAGAAATTTGTGCAGAAATTTATGGGAAGAAGAATATGAATTTTGCATTAAAATCTGGAAATTAGACAGTACAAACTTCTGAGAGGCTTGTTCTCTCCCTAGCCAACAATCGAGAGTTTGGAGCTCTCCAAACTCCAAAGAATTTCCACTCTTTAACAGTAATTAGCATGGTTCTTTCTCTCTTTAACTAGCTCTATTATAGACCTCTCCCTCTAACTATCTTGCCCCACAAGATACTCCTAGTAGAATTATATTGGAATACCTATAAGGCCCTCCCCCCTATTTTGGTTCACTACAATAGGCATAGCTCTATCACAATTACTATTCCTTGTAAACAGTAGATTATATAATAGCTTGGTACAATTTCTTATGTTTTGGCATGATTCTTGTGTATTCAGACGAAGATGTTCACTACAAGTCGCCAAATACGCCCAGATCTGAACAAGAATGGCAGAGGTAGTTTCTTCTGCTATTGGATTATTGTATCCACTGATACATGCAGAGGTGTCTTTAATCTATGGTCTGCGAGGTGAAGTAGCTGCTATACATGATGAGCTGAGCAGCATCAAAATTTTACTTAAGAATGCAGAAGAGAGAGCAGATGAAGATGACTCAGTGAAAGAGTGGGTGAGACAAGTAAGAATGTTGGCTCATGAAATAGAAGATGTCATTGAAGAATATAATCTATTATCAAAAGGAAATGAATTTTTTGGTAAGGTCAAGAAGATCGTGCCACTTAACAAACGAACAATTGCCAAAACCATTGAGTCATTGCGCAAAAAGGCAGTTGATATTGGTCAGAGGAAGACAAACTATAGGTTCGATAGTGTCATCCAGCAAGCCGGACATTTTTGTAACTTTGAAGGCAGTACACATCAATCAACAATACTATCCGTGGGTATGATTGAGGAATCTGAATTGGTGGGTGCTGAGACTGCCAAAGAAGATTTAATTGGTTTGCTAGGTTTGCAGGAGTTTGAGGATTCAAGAATCTCTACAATAGCAGTGACTGGTATGAGAGGCCTTGGAAAGACAACAGTTGTTGGTAGTGTTTATAATGATGAACTGGTGAGAGACTACTTTCCCATTCGTGCATGGGTCCCTGTATCCCGACCATATAACCATGTTGGCATACTAAGGAGCATGTTAAAGCAGTTCTATGAATCCCCTAGTGAGATTGAGCAATTTGGGGAAAGCAGTTATGACAGTGATGCAAGCAACTCAACAATTTACCCTATTCTTGAAGGAATTAACTCCATGGAAGAAAGATCCTTGCTGTGTCGATTAAAAAAGTTTTTGTCAGAGAAGAGGTACTTAATACTTGAGACTCTCTAGTTACATGTTTTTGTTACTTTTACTAAGTACTTATCTTTACCTTTGAAAAAATTTGCCACAATATTTTACTTTCGGAATCAAATCTTGCTAGCTTTCAACATTATTATAGCATATATACAATGCTCAGTCCCTTTTTGTTTGCTCCATGGTCCATGAATGCATGTCATAGAGTGTAGCGGGGTTTTAAAAAAGAAATAGAATTAATAATATATGGTATAGAATTACAAATTATGGAAGTGATGTAAATAAAAAATAAAAAGATACCCAAAAGTAGCAAGGGATGCAAATAGATTATAAAAAAAACAATAGTGTATTTTTTTTCTATTTTTGTGCGTGTACCCACTTATTGTAGACTCTTGTTTCTAGAAAAACTGATTGGGTGTAATGATAAGGAATAGTACTATAGTGGTGGTAAAATGATAGATGGTATAATTAAATGGTAAATAAAATAGGAAAGATATAGTGAAAAGGTGTAAATATTATGGGGAAAAGGGGTGAGAAATTAAGAATGTGAGATGGTAAAATGTGTTCGTAAAAATAGAACAAAGTAGAATCGTGTAGGAAAAATTACCTTAAAGTTTACCGAGCACATTAAAAAAAAAAAAAAAGAAAAGAAAAGAAGGTTAGTTATTAAAGTAAAACATACTATATCAATCTATCCTTGCTTTAGAAGGTTACCTAATCTTAGACATGAAAAGTAAAACCACTAATATAGGGCTTGTTTGTTATTGGTTTTTATTTTCAGTTTCCCTTTTTTTGGAAAAATAAAAAATAATTACAAAAATATGGAAATTAGTTCCACAACTTGGTTGTCACTTTTCAAATTCAACATGATTAGTATAAGTGTTGAAACCCATTATAGCCCACTTGTAAGTGTCCCACATGGGAGAAAGACAAGAGAGGTTCACTAGTAGAATAAAGCAATTGGCCACCGGTTCAAAACCCCCCTATGCCACCGGTTTTGAACCGGTGAGCATTTGGGGGGTGGCAATAGTCTAATGCAAAGCCACCCGTTCAAAACCGGTGGCAAAAACAAGTATTGTCACCGGTTAACCGGTGGCAATTATGCTTCCTGCTTTTTTTTTTTTTGATATTACATATAAATGCCACCGGTTAACCGGTGGCAATAACATACTTTTTTTTTTTTCGGCTATTTGCTACAATAATAATAATAATTAAAAAAAAAACTCTGTAAAATATAAGGCAAATAACATCACAATCAATATAAGAGCGCAATGAAATATACTCACATTTATATTCAAATAATAGATTGTTATTGTACAATAAAAAAAAATTACAATGAAGTATTAAGTACAAAAAAAAACAATGAATTATACATTACAAAAAAAAAAAATTACAACATTAAAAAATAACAATATTCCAAAATGAAAGTCTTGAATCCAGCATCAATTAACACCTGCATCAATTAAAACCCAGAAATTAATAAAACTCAAAAAAAAAAATGTGAAAAAAACCCAGAAACTCATGCATGTATACGGTCACCCGCAAAGGATGAAACAGAAAGAGAAAAGGCTTCAAAAAAAAAAAAACAGAAAGAGAAAAGGATGAAAACCCAAAATTTTCACCCAGTGAAACCTAGTAAATTCGAAAATCAAATAACCCAAAAATTACGAAAATTAAATAAACCCAATAATTTCGATTATCAATTAAAAACAGAAAATTTTCGAAATAAAAAACCCAAAATTAAAACAGAAAAATTTTGAAATAAAAAACCCAAAACCCAAAAAACAGAAAAATCAATTTCGAATTCCACCAAAAATAACAAAAACCCACCCACCATAACCACAACCACCACCAAAAACCACCACAACCCATGAACTCCACCAAAAATAACAAAAAACAAAATAAAAGTAAGAAAAAAGAGAAATTACCTCGAATTTCAGCAAAAACCCCCGAAATTATCTTGAATTTGTGTTATAAAGGTCTAATTCGACCATGAAAACTCTACTCTAGATCTAGAGTTTTCATGGTCGAATTAGACCAGAAAACCCATATTTTCATCACGAGGAGAGAGTAAGTGCGACAATAAGCTTGATGGTTAATGGCGGTGGTTGTTGTTGCGGCGGTGGACGAGCCAAACGAAGGAGAGAGGAAGATACCGCGAGAGAGGGAGAAGATTAGGGTTAAGGAGAGAGAAAGAGAAGAGAGATCAGGAGAGAGGAGGAGGTCGACGAGAGAGATTCAGGGTAGAGAGAGAGAGAACAGAGAGGGGGAGTAAGAACGAAGGAGATAGAGAGAAGGAGGAGAGCAGGAGGAGAGGTGATAGAGGAGAGAGAAGATTAGGGTTAGGTATATAAAGGAAGGGGAAAGAGAATAGTGGGCTTTTTTTTTTTTATTATTTGATTATTGCCACCGGTTCAAAACCGGTGGCCTTTTATCATTTATGCCACCGGTTCGGTTTGAGTGGCAATGTACATATGCCTAATCCCGCCCATTTTTTAAGCCACCGGTTTTCAAAAACCGGTGGCCATTGAGCGGTGCCTTTTTCAATTTTTCTACTAGTGGTTCCACTTTATAAAGTAGAGAAGATACTCCTACTAGTGCCAATTGGTTTTATATGGAAGACCCTAAGCCTTGTTTGTGGAACAAACTCAGTGTCAGGCCCATTTCATATTGTCTCAAAAATTTAACATGGTATCAGAGCCTGGATTGTGGGTCTCCAACTAATGAAAACTGACAATGATACCAAACAAACTCTTAGTTACCAACTCATTTATGTAAAATCATGAACTGACCTACCATTTTTCTTGAGATTAGGCAAGCCCGACAAGAATGGCAACATGTGCATTATTGTTTAAACCTTGAAAGACTATCTAAAATTACAAGTACAATTTCTCTTTGAAATTTTTTCTCTTAGGTACTTGGTTGTTTTTGATGACGTCCAAGATGAAGAGTTGGCCACTTATGTCAAAATGGCATTACCATTCTATGATAATAAAGCTAGCAAAATACTAATCACCACACGCTATGAAAATGTGGCCCGTACATGGGCTGAAGGGTCTAACCAGGGTCTATACAAACTCAAGCCCTTGCCATCAGTGGAAGCATGGAAGCTGTTTTGCAAGAGGGCATTCAGAAACAATCAAGGAAATAGTTATCCATTTTTGGATGGCCGAGCACAGGAGATCGTCAAAAGATGTCAAGGAATGCCACTCATTATTTCGGAAATGGGGCGCTTTCTATCTACCAAGTTAGATAACTTGGAAGTATGGAAGAAGAAGAGTGAAAGCCCTGGGTTTTGCCTACGACAAGATCATCCAGGAATTTACAAACACTTAATCCGCAGCAGCTATCATGATTTGCCTCATTACCTGAAGCCTTGCCTTTTGTACTTTGGTCTATTTCCAGAAGGTTGTCTCATTGGGCAGGCGAGAATCATTCGATTATGGATAGCAGAAGGTTTTATCATTGTTGAAGGAGGAAATGGAGTATCTGCCAACCTAACACCAGAAGAACTTGCAGAAAAGTACATAAAACAACTTGTTGACATGAATTTGGTTAAAGAATGCACTGATGCTACTGGAAGATCTAAAAACTTACAAGTCCCCATAATATTGCATGAGATTATCCTTTCCAAGATAACAGAGTTGGGATTTTGTCAAACTCTTTCAGAGAAGAATAATTCCACCAGTACTGAAGAATTTGTAAAGCCTCGCCGCTTATCCATTCACATGGACCATAGCTTTCATGATGCAGATCATCAAGTCATACAGAATATTACCAAAACCAAGTCCAGCATTCGGTCTCTCCTTTATGCAAAAATGTATGTACAGCCTGCGGTGTCAACAAATTTATTTTCGAAAAACTTTCTTCTATTGAAAGTTCTCGACTTTAGTAATGCTCTCATATATAATCTTCCTAACGAAGTGGGGGAGCTACTTAACTTGCATTATTTATGCTTGAGAAATACGCAAGTGAGTAGACTTCCAAGCTCCTTAGGTAAGCTTGAATATCTCCAAACATTGGATTTGAAACATACATTAATTTCTGAGCTTCCTTCTGATCTTAACAAACTCCGCAAGCTACGCCATCTACTTACATATTCCTATAAGTATGATCCTGCTTATAGCCTCCACACCCAGAAATTGACAGGAGTGAAATTACCAGAAAAAGCTTTGGAGAAATGTGGGGAATTGCAGAAGCTAGCATTTGTTGATGTGGGGCATAGAAGTATGGTGGTCAAGGAGCTACGAAATCTGAGGCAATTGAGAAGACTAGGAATCACGGAGCTCAAGTTTGAAGACGGGAAAGATCTTTGTGCAGCAATTGAAGAGATGCAATGCCTTCAGACATTCAGTGTATACTCGAAAAACTTGAGTGAATTCATTGATCTAGATCATTTTCAATCGCCTCAGTTGGCACTAAAATGCCTCTACCTGAATGGACCTTTGAAGTCTTGTTGCACTGGCTGGATCTTAGAGCTTCATAGTCTAGTGAAAATCCGCCTGAGGTGGTCACGTTTAGAGGTTGACCCTCTTCCTCTTTTAGAAACATTGCCAAATCTAGTGGAACTTCAAATGTTAGAAGCATATAATGGTGACAACTTAATATTTGTAAATGGAGGGTTCAAGAAGCTTAAGATATTGCATCTTCTTGATCTGCGTAATCTTAAGTCCTTGTCTATCTGCAAAGGTGCGCTGCCACTTCTTCAGCTAATGGCTATCGGTGAAAGCCCAAAACTTCAGGTGCCACTGGGAATCAAGCATCTCTCGAAGCTGGAAACACTCAATTTATTTAATATGCCACTTGATTTTGCTGATAGCCTTCATCGCAACAGGAAGTATCATTTCATAGTCAAGCATGTGCCTAATGTCTTACTTCAAAAGAGAGACGACCAAGGAAACTGGCAAACTTTCTCCCTCCAATGATCAAGTCATGCAGAAGCAGAATGCAGGTACTAAAATCAAATTCTATTTAATTCTATATCTAGCAACGAAGTTGCATTGAAACTTTATTAGCTCAACTCGTCTGACTGTTTAATTTTTGAACACCGCGTAAATGATGTAATTAACGTCTACAGATGAAATCTGGTTCACTCATTAATTGCATCTTTTTATTTAGACATATATCCTGCAAGAACTACTGTATTTTCGCATTTTGTGTGTTGGATATATACATCCTCTGCTTTCTTTCCTTTTTTTTTTCTCCATTCTTGATTTTTTAAGAACCAGCTCCCCCAGTACGTGTGTGTGAGTGTGCAGCCTTTCTTTCTTACGGTGTGTGAGGGTGATATCAGTGTTTGTGTGTGTAAACCTGCTGCTTCATGCATACTTTCGGGTGTAAATGGCTAAATGCCACAGGAGCTTCTATAAAATTGGAAATTAATGCTTATACTCCTCTATTCATATGCAGGCAGTCAAAGCTGAGTCGCTGATAAAGGATGCTTTCCCTTGGCATAAGAACAGCGAGCTAGCAGCAACATCAATAACATTGCCCATTGTTAATTGGTATCAGTTATATAGTTCTGTTTAAACTTGATCCATCAGTAGTGTACCTCTGAATTGTAAATCTCATTTGTTTTGAATATTATTCTTCCTTGGATTTCTTGTACCAGCATTTGAATCTTCTGAAACTTTGCCAACAGCAGAATTTACCTCATGTTATTGTTGTGTTAGAAAAAAAAAAAAAAAAAACTTTTTCTTCAAAATGTTATTACCATACAGTTACTCGAGCACCGGAAAAATAGTTTATTGCTACTTGGATCACTGCTTTCTGGAATTAGCCGGGGCTGGCTCTCTAGTATTAAACATTGCCTTTGTATTTCTGAAATGCAGATCAGCCAACGATCCGGTGTAGATCTCTGGATGAGTGGATGCTTTCCATAAGAATCACTGTACTTGCTAACTTAAAGAAGAAAACTTTGCAGAAGGTACAACCATTATTTAAAGTACTGAATAAATTAAGATGCAAAATTACAGTTATTGATTCATCTCATGGAATGGAATCCTAATTGTCTAATTCAAATAGTGAATTAGGTGAAATCAGAGTTTCGACATAGCTGATGGAATTGACAAAATCATCACCTCTTTTGTGTGGTACAGTATATTTATTGTTTCGGATGAAAACAATCGAATCTCGGAAGATCCTTTTATCTTGAGGGAACTTGGTCTCGGTCCGAACGACGCAGGAGCCGAGGGTTTCCTGCACAACAAATACACGTAAACTAGCCTCGGGGGGGACGCCGAGGAAGGCCCCTCCGATGCTTAAGTCAGTATATTAGAGAGAGAAAGCTGTGCAAGAGTTTAGTTGCTTGAGGCTTTATTGTCTTACCAAGAATTGACCAAATTGTTGGCTTTTATACCTTGGCTAATGAAGGAGGCGGATTGGGCCCGGAAGTCAGTTGGGCTGGGCCAAGCTGATTGGGCCGTTGACTGACCTTGACATGGCTTTGAGGATGTTGATTTTTGACTTTAGCACATTTGGAGAGTTGAACCTTAACCTTGGGCTTTTAATTGGATCATTCAGTGACCAGGCCCAATTGGACTAAATTGGACCCAAACAACTTGCCCCCCAGACCCGATTTGGAAGGATGACGGGTCGGGTTTGATTTAATCAGAAAAGGAGGGAAGTGAATGATTTGTTAATCCAAAAATGTGAATTTAAACCATAATTAACCCATGATTAATGAGATAACAACAGTTAATGTGGATAATTGCGGAAGTTGGACGGGTAGTGGGCGATTTAACTGCAAGGTCGCGTGTTTAACGGTTACTTAGTGGGGTGCTTGAGAGAAATTGAAACGCAGACTCCTTGAATTCCCATTTCTGGAGATATAAATAGAGGCGCGTCTTCTCTCCCCACTCATTCATCAACACAAACCCAGAATTCTCAAGAACGCTCAAGAGCCCGCATCAAAACTTCGCAAATTCCCCGAGCATTAAGCTTAGAAGCTGAGACTTGTCACTACCAATTCGTAAATCGGCGGCTTTTGCTTCAGATCAAGGTAAATTCCTTTGATTTTATTTCATCTTTCTTCGACTTTGCACTCTTTCCCCTTTTTCGACTTTTTCCTTCGAAATTCGTCAATGGTGAGGGGAGTTAGAGGTGGAGCCCGTGCTCCAAGAAGAGCAAGGCTAATCCCCGATCCCAGGGACAGGATTGGGACCTGGAATGGACGAAGGACAGAGTCTGACCCTGCTGAAGGGGTTAGGGCGACTCCCATTTCTTCGGCTCCTCCTCAGAGAACGGATGAGCCGAGTGCTTCTGGACGGGACGATGAAATTCCCGCTGTCCTTTGGGATATCCTCCCTGGGTTTTCAGAGTGGGAGAATGCCGAAGTCGCTTCGGCCATGATAAAGAACCGCCCCTACTCATGGTGGGTAGAGAACGCCGATCAATATCGATTTGCCGAGCAAATTGAGTTGCACTACGGCATTTTTGAAGCTGATGGATATTGGTGCCGAATGCCCTCAGCATCCGATAGAATCCATCGTCCACCCCCGGGGTATGTGGGGGTGTACACGAGACAGCTTCAGTATGGGCTGAGGTTCCCTTTGGACGCATTCGTCCGAGACTTGCTGATCCATTACAACATTTCCCTGTGCCAGCTGACCCCCACCAGCATCCGAAGGGTAATGACGTACTTATGGGTCTGCAAATTCTTCAGGTACGTGCCGAACCTGCATTGCTTCAAAAGGCTCCATCGGCTAGTGCCAAACATTCAAAGTGGGCACGGATGCCATGGCTCTGGGTGGTATCGGATTGAGTCTCGGCCCCCGTTCCTAACCATGTGGCCGAACGACTCTTCAGACAAGGACTGGAGAGGTCAATGGATTTGGGTTAGGGCACCCACGGAGCCGAGCCACCCTTACGTTTTCAGCGCTCCCCGGTATCTTGCCGAGCCGGATCCTGATATGGGAAGTTTAGGTCCTCCCGAAGATAGCGGGCCAGACCCGAACCTTAATCAGCAGAACATCTTCGGCAAGCTGCCGAACCGGGGAGGCAGCGGCCGAATGCAGCATATCCCGGAGACTTGGCTCCCCGATACGCACTATGTTTTCCAAGAGAATATGCTGGCAGCTGTCGGCCTCAGCCGAAAGTTTAGGGATGGTAATCTTCTTCGGCTGGGGCCGAGGCCTTTTAATTATCTCTTTTCTTCTTTCATTTTGCTTTCTTGTGATGTGCCGAACTAACTGAATTGACTTCTCCCCTTTTCTTTTTCAGAACGGGACGAGACCAACGTCGGCATTGATTACGCTCGCCTTGGCGTCAACCGAGAACGAGTCGTAACTGATCGGGCTCCCCCTATCACTGAACCAAGGCGCCGAGAGGTTCACCTAGACTCTTCCCACTTCCAAATTGAGGCTGTTGCTCTGTATCAGAGGCAGAAGCCTTGGTGGAAGAAGAGGGATCCCTTGTTTCAGCTGCTGGAAGAAGAAGCTGAAGCTGCCCGTACAGCCGAAGAGGTTGCACGGGTTATTGAAGCTTGTGAAGGTGGAGAAGGGTCCTCCAGAGTTGCTGAAGAAGCTGCGGCTAGGGCAGCTGAAGAAGACGAGGCTTTGCTGAAGACCTCGGTGAGCCTTTAGACTTAACTTTGTCTTTCTTCTTTTTTTTTTTTACTCACTCTTCTTCCCCCCTGTCTGTTACAGTCTGAAGAGAGTAACAGACACAGAGAAGGCAAAGCTCCTGTTCGTCCCGAAGATCAAATACAAGAGTCTTCAGACTCAGATATGGACGAGCAGCCGCTTCAGAAGAGGCGCCGAAGAATGGCCATCATCGGCCCGCATGACTTTCAGCGGAGGCCGATGACCATCGGCGTTGAAATAAGGGAACCCGAGGAAGGCAATGGATCGCCGAGGGTTCCCCGGCCACCGCCTCAATCACCCCCAAGGGCCTCTCCGCCACCCCCCGAGATGGAGGTGGATCAGAGAACTCCCAAACCTAAGGGAGAGGTTCTGGAAGAAGCTCGAGAGAGTGCCGCCGAGGACAAGGATGGAGACGCCGTGATGCCCAGTGCTGAGGGTTTCACGGCGGACATTGCCAGAGAGGTTGGGGCCTTCGTCCTCACACCTGAAGAAGAAGAGGTCACAATAATTGACTCTTCTGAGAAGGAGGAGGACGTTGAGCCACCCAAAGCTAAAGAGGCTCCATCGTCATCCTTCCCTTCCTTCCAGACGCTGCAGTCTGGAGAAATGGGTTTCTCGGCCCCCCGAATTCCAGTCCCAGACCACATCTGGGACCTCATATGGGGTCAGAACCGAGAAGGTGCTGCAGCCTACTTCGGCGATTTTGCTGGCCTGTCCGAAGTAGATAGGGCAAGGATTTGGTCGCTGAAGGCCACTGCTGGGATGGGCGAATCCAGCAGATCAGTTCCTGACCCTGCCAGGTCCAACCAACTGCTGATGATGCAGGTAATTCTCCTTGCCTTGATTTCTTTCTGAACTCAACCTTTCAGCTATTATTTTTTACTTTTTTAACTTGTGCCCCTGTTTTCAGTTCGTGCACAATCAGACTCTCACTGTAGAGCTGATTGATACCCTACAAGATAGGGTAGACGCTGCTGTGCACGAAAGGAAGGTGGCTGAAGAGGAAGTTAAGCTTGCTAAGCTGAAGCAAGCAGCAGCTGAAGAGAAGCAGCAGGAGGTTGAGGAGTACGGTAAAAAAGCTGCCGAAGCTCTGAAAACCTTCTGTGATGCTATGGAGATGGAGGTTTTTCCCCCACTGATGGAAGGGGAAAAATTCCTCCAGGAGCATATGGGAGTGGACGTCTCCAAATTCAAGGCTGCTATTGAGAGCCGAATTCAAGAAGGAACTGCTGCACAAGCTGAAGTGCAGCAGCGTCTAGAGGCTCTTGAAGCCAGCCGAATGGCTGCTGAAGAGTTGCTCTTGGCCAAAGACGTCCAACTCTCAGAGGCTGCTGCTGCTGCTGAAGCTCAAAGAGCTAAATTCCAAGAGGCTGAGGATCAACTGCTGATCCAGAAAGTTGAAGTGGCCCAAGCTCAGACAAAGGCTTTCCAAATTCAGCAAGAGCTGAATGAGCTGAAGGGGTCCTCCTCCAAAGTCGCTGAACAGCTGAAGAAATCCAAGGAAGACTTGGAGGAGACCCAGAAGAAGCTGGCTGATGCTGAGGCTTTACTCAAAGTCCGTGTTTACACCCAAGAGGAATATGAGATGGGTTTCAGAAACGGATTCCGAGTATGCCGAAGACTCTGCCTTCATGCTGAGCCGAAGCTTGACTGGTCTAAATGTGCTGAATGGGTCCAAGATCCCGAAGACCCTCACATGAAGTATGCAACTCCAGCTGAAGCTGAAATTCTTAAGGCTGAGGAAGCCGAAGAGGAAGCTGAAAGACTGGAGTTGGAAGCTGAGCAGAGGGAAAGGGAGGCTCGGCAAAGTGCAAAGCCCGCCTCTTCTGCTGCTGGGGCTGAGGCCACCAGGGGACTCAACGCTGATCAGTCTGATCCTCCGGCTGAAGCATAGGAACTCGGGCAGTCGTCTTCAGAATCTTGCGGTTCATCATGTGCTTAACTTTAGACTTGCCGCTTTCTGAGTTTTTGCCTTTTGTTTTTTTTTTGCTTCAGCTTGCCTTATCGTACAACAGCTTATTATATTTTTATTTTGCCTGTACGTATTTCGGCAGCTGTTACTTTCCGCTTGTG